TCCGGAGCCTGAAGAACTGGTGCCCAGGCACCGCCGCTGGGTAATACCTGGCTGCTGAAGCGGCTGGTACTTATTAGGCGGGTACCTTGGTTGCTAAAGTACTGGAGAGCCATTCAAGGTATATCGGTACTTGCACATTGTATGCAATGCCCACTTCTCGCCAGGTAACTAGTGTGTACAGAGATGCAGACCAGATACTTAAGTACATAACGACCCGGGAGCCAGCGCAGACCTGGGAGATTGTTGGAAGCTAGTGTGGGTCCAATGTTGGGCGGTCTGTGCTCCGTACGTTATGCACGTACTTACATACATACACCACCATTGCACCCATTGACAGTCCGCTTCTTTTCAACCAGTATTGAATGTTCTTGCAACCTTCAACGGGGACGCTACGGCCACACATGTCCAAGCATGTCTAAATTACCCTTGGTACTCCATACTCCGTATACTACTCCATTAAGTAGACAGGCAGAAATGCGTGTGCCACATGTGTATCGGCCTAATTGAACGAGAAACCCAAAAGCACCGCAAGCGCACTCCCCTTCTGTTTTTCGACGAAGCTGCCGACGTCCTCGTAAGTTTCTAAAGCGACGCGGCTATTCCAGTACGTGTGTAGACCAGCCATGCGGTGCACAGAGGCGGCATCTAAGGACCGACCTGGGCACCTACTAAGTCGCTACCTACCTGGCTAGGTAGGTACCTAGGTAGGTACTTAGGTAGTGGGCACCTAGTGGGTACTTAAGATTGGGCACGATAGCCGCGGTAACTCTTTCTATGCAAGTGCGACTATATCTCTCCTCTGCCCCATGACTGTATCCAAAAATCTCGATAAATAACTACTCTCCCTATTGTAAATGTCAGATTGTTTAGCGGCGAGAGCCGACGTATCCACGTCGCATCCATGACGCGGGAAGTCAGGTGAATGTATGTAACTATCTTGATTGGTACAAGCCTAAAGTTTTATGGGTCCTGATCCATTCTCGCGACGCGTTTATGTACCAAGGCATTATTGGTTGTATGCTCTTGTACTCCGTACCCCGAAGCACAAATGACCGAGCTGTTTCTCCAGGGCAACGAGTTGCTGTGGACATTGGCAAGCCACTTGCACCGTAAGTTACATATATCCAAATGAACAAATGAACGAACTATTCGAGCATGCTATCCCTCAAACGTAAATAGATGTGGATGGGAGTCCGTATTGGCGGTGGACTTGCAAGCTACCGCGTCCCGGGCTGTTACTGTATTAGTCCGTCACTGCGGAGTGCGGCCTGATTGAAATAGGGTTTCCAATTTGCTGTTGCTGATATCATCCTCCAAGCCTAACTGTCACTTGGATGAGGATATCAGTTCCGTCGGTTAAGTTGAATAGTCCCATGCAGGGCATGCGAGGCACGGGCGTTCATCCAGAGGGGACTTGTTCCTCTTCTATTTACTCGGTTCTCATCATATAAAATCCCATCGACCTCAATGGAAAGGAATAGTTCTTCCATTCATAGGACCTTTGCTTACCATTTACACTAAAAGAAAAATCATTGACTGTCTTCCTCATAACTCTCAAGAACTCTCTTCATCATCTGGTCGCCTACAACCTTGGCCTCCGCGAAACGAGGCTGGAAGAATTCTTGCGTGCTGATGAACCGTTTTTCCCACGTCTCAAAGTGGCCAAGTGAAACACACTCGGCCCAACCACGTGCTGCAAATGTAAACTCAAGGTCATCGCTTCGATACATCTTGTCTTCGACAGCTGTTTTTAATGTCTCATCCAACAGTGTCGTATTGAGAAATAAGTGTTCTGTTACGCCAAGTCGAAGTCGGAATAGAGGCGTACTGCAAAGCATATGATCGTATGGCACAATGCCCAGCGCGGCCCAACAGTCAACCATGGCCAAGAGGCTGAGATGGTTGTTTGGCCTGGGCGGTGCGTCTGTAGGTTTTCCAAGCGAAAATGAGGACAATATTGAGGGCTCGATCAATGGACGGGTACCCCAATTCGAAGCCGAACCAAATACTTTATTCCTTGCATTGTACACTCTGTCCCGAAGTCCATCCAGGTCACCTTTCAGCATGAGTTTATACAAGGCCGTTACGCTTTCAGCATACTGAGCCACTTGTTTTCTGGCTTCAGGATTCAGAATGGCAAGGCCAGCGTACACGTGCCACTTCTGCCCGTAAATGCGCAGCATGGTGTTGATCTTGACGTTCTCAATGCCACCTACATAGCGATTCAATTCCCATGGAAACTGACTGTTTGCGTGCCAGGCTTTTCCCATGGACAAGAACGCGGCATGGGTAACAGCTTGTGTATCCGCAGTGATACGATCGTGTTCTTGCGCTGTCAAGTAAACATACTTGGACCGCAAGCAGCTGAAAACAGCCTCGACCTTCCGCAGAGCCTCATCCGGCGCACGATGCTGGATGAGAACTAGTGGTTGATTATGTGTATCAACCCCAGGACCGTGGAGTGAATGGCAAGATATAATATGGACATCGGGCGGCAAGTATTCCTCAAAGGCTTTTATTTCCGGAGACTTGCAAGACGTTTGGCCGCCGGCGATGGCACCCATCTTCGTCGCTACCACGAGAGCATGCACACGTCAGAAATATAGAGGATGGGAAGGGCTTCAGTCATTGGGATGCATACAGGGGCCAAATTGCGCAATCACACGGTCTATGATGGCAGCTTCGACACTGTATATAATGTAGTCGCTGGCTCGTGACACATAATGGCCATTGCGGCAAATTTCTATATTGCTCTGAAGCCATCCTCAGTACAGAACTGGAACTGAAAGCAACTTGAACAGGCAGCGCGGGTCGTACTTTTGCAAGATATTGTTCTTTGAGGCTATCGAATCTATCTTCCCTATCGCAAGCAAGTACACTAGAGGTTTGCTCTTGTTAATTTCCTATCTTCTCTTCTGTTAGCTTGATGGCCTATCGAAGTGCATGCTTGGTTGCGAAACAAAATACACGTTATTGGTTGCTTCTTCAGACAAAAGTTTGTTAAGGTAGCAAGCGTTTACATCATTGGGAGCACGAGGCTTAGCTCAGGGACCGGAACGGCCCATGGGCGGCCACGAACAATGCTCGAGCCAAATGCGCTCTAGTCATCATTGAAGCTGAGAAAGGACGGCTGGGTGACAGGCAAGAACAAGATGGCCAACTTACAGACACCAGGACGATTTCCAACCCCTTGCAGACCATGTATTATACTCACGACACTTACCTCCAGCCTGCTGCAGATAGTCTATCCGCATACATCTTGCCCATGTCGCCCATTCCAATCAATCCGACGACGAAATTCTCCATCCCTTCCGGGATCTTGTAAGATGTAGGGGCCATTGATCTGCTTCTTGATTGAAAGCAGCAAGCAGGAACAATGGAACTCAGTATGCATGCAAATTGCGCCTGCGCTTTACCTGTCTTGAAACGCGACGTTCCCAACTTTAACTTTGCGACTTGGTGACAGATGGATGTGCAGAAGAGAAGGTGGGAAGAGGGAAGAGAAAAATGCAGATTAATATACCAAACCACAGGCCACTAACTAAAGTGGGCGCCAGTTGGTTAGTAAGCAGACCCTGGCACCCACGACACCTCAGGACCCACTGGCGAGAGGTTGCGGTCAGTCACCCCCATGAGAATAGAAGGAACTCATGACAGGCATGCAATATTTTTGTTGAACGATGCTACGTGCTGTACCTCCCCCAATGAGCGTCATATCAGCTTGCAACTAGACTGGAAATTCTATAGCTGAAGTGGCTAGCTCACTCGGCAAGAGATTGGACCCTTTCTTTTATTAGTTGATATCCACTGACTGTTTCGAGTGTATGTTGATATGGAAGACATTTTCGCCATCGGGTCCAATGGATCTGGGCAACTTGGTATTGGGCATGAAGAAGATGTATCCGTTCCGAAGCCAGTTCAATTCCACCCGGCACCTCTGGGCTCCCGCATAATGAAAATTGCCGCTGGCGGTAACCACACTCTTCTCTTGGATGAATCTGGTGACCTATTCTGGAGTGGTGACCCGTCTGCTGGAGCTTGTGGAATCTCAAACAACGACTCGAAAATTGTGGCCTTTCAGCCAGTTCGCCTGGTCCATAGCGGACACGACGACACCATAGGAACCCCTATCCTCATTGCTGCAACATGGGAGGCATCATTTATTGTTTCCCGCGATGATACGGGGAAAAGAACCAAACTCTTTAGTTTCGGGACCGGCATGAAGGGTGAGCTTGGTGCAGGAGAACTGATTGTTCGAACGCCTACAGCTACTCAACTACACGACTTCCCTCCACCGGGAACAGAAATTATTGACTTGGCGGCATGTATGGGACATGTGGTCGCAGTGCTCGATAACGGTGATGCCTATGGCTGGGGCAATTGTCGGAAATCACAAGTGGGAGCACCCGCTGGTGTCATCTATAAGCCTCGGAGGATAGCCGATATCGGATTCAGCGTACATCGCGCGGTCTGTACCAAGGAGGCGACATGTTTCTTTGGACCCCCAGACAGTGGGCAGGTTCGCATATTAGGGTCGGACAAGTGGGGGATACTCTCCAAGAGTCCCAGTGTAATATCTTCATGGTCAGATATTGGGGCAGGCTGGGGAGCCGTCTATATATTGAATCGAGACGGAACTCTGCAAGCGTGGGGGAGAGATGATCATGGTCAACTGCCACCACCCAATCTTCCTCGTCTGGAGCAAATTGCAATTGGCAGTGAGCATGTTGTGGCTCTGTCACAAGATGGCGATGCGCTTTCGTGGGGCTGGGGCGAACATGGGAATTGTGGCCCTGTGGTGGAAAACAACGACGTTAAAGGCCGTTGGAATGTGATTGCATCCTCAAAATTTATACCTGAGGATTCTCGGATTACTAGGATTGGTGCCGGCTGTGCTACCAGCTGGATATGCATAGGACGAGTTTGATTCCGTCGTTTTATTTCCCGCTCTACCCGGGCATCGAGGCGGCAGCCTACAAACCACTTCCCGCTTCATACTTCTAGTCCGGAAATAACGCGAGGCTCTTAACATCTGAAAGCTTTTGTGTCGGCTCCAAGTATGTTGACTCAGGGGCGGTCTGGACATCTGCCGCTTCTTGGCGCCCAACGCTGGCTGCATGACGCTCTTCGATCCGGCTCAACTGCAATGCTGAAGGGTTCTTCTGTAGGTTAGTTGGATGTATGGTGAATGGAGAACATTGTAGACTTACAGGGTCGGCACTATGATCCCACTCCAGCCTTGCGTCTTGTTCCACGTCTTCCTCCTCGTCTCTCACAGGCTCCCAGCCATCATCATCTACAAATAGGCTTTCTGAGCGGATAGTAGGCGGTGGTGGCTTCTGAGACGGCCGTAGATCAAAGGCACCAATTCGTGAAGCGCTGGCCCTAGCAGCGCTAAGATGTGGATGGGGCGTTGGGTTAGGTACCGTGGGATTCGTGATAGATTGCGCAGACTGTGAAAGCCTGTAAGGTTGTATATTCGTGGTGATTTCGTTTGGTGCAACGCTGGTCCTACGAGAGGCAGCCTCTAAACGTGGACCTGAGCCGCCTGCTGTTGTTGTTGCTTTGCGGCCCTTTTTCGTCTTTTGGGCCGGATTACTTCCACGTTCTCCTACCGTCATTATAAGAAACTCGCAAGCCAAAGCATCTCCAGCATAAGAGAGTAATATGGGCCTCGCGGGGAGAGAATATCGGGCAGAGATGGCATTTCCAGTAATCCCAGCATGTTGAACAATGGCGCGAAAGTCTTTCACAGAAATGACGATATGTAGCTTATCTTCAACGTCGATATCATCAAATTCATCTGTCTCAACAGCAATGGAGGTCTGCAACGGCTTTTTCAGCACCGCTAGCAGTGGATGTTAGTGCTATGTAAGTTCTCCAGGAGGTGGCGAGGTCGTTCATACCATCCTCATTAACGGTTTTTTCGCTAAAACATGTGAAGTTGACATGGTCACCATCAGTGTTGATATCCAAGTACTCGGTGCCGGGCCCAAAATGTTCCATGAGTTGACGAAGCGTCCTTGATGATATTGTCCAGTGGTGTGGCGCATCTTGTCTATCAAATTTTGCGTGAACGGGTACAGCCACTTCGAATGGTAAGCGATGAGTTGATGTCAAGCCATTCCGAAACACAATACGGGCGATGAAGCGGCTTTTAACGCCTTCCCCATCCTCGACGGTGATATCACATCTGTCGATAAGTGTCTGCTTCTCCGCATCTCGTTGACTCTCTGAGCTTGAACGACTGCGAAATAGGGATATAAGTGACTGAATATGTTATGGACATTAGTACTATGTGCAGAATGATATATTCTGACAAAATCTAGGACGGCACAAGAGGTATGAGGGCAGATAGAGTGGTCGTAGAGATGAGTTCAAGAGCTTACCCTGATATATAGTGTGCAATAGAATCTGTCGCGGAATTGACCAATGGGCTGACATTGGTATTTAGAGAAGAATCTGTTTGTAGCGAACTTAAAGCTCGCATAGGCGGACTTGGAACTATTCAAGGTTGTAAGAACGAACTTATAGAGTACAAGTTGTTAGTGACTGAAAAGCATGGGGCCCGTCTCCTCGGGGCACAATCTTACCGAGTCTTTTCTAGCCTCTAGGGATACATCATCGCTGAATTTGTTTAGACATATCAGTGCATCACGAAAGGCAGACACGCCCTCTTCGCTCAGGGTGAAGGACAGGATTGTCATGATGCGGTTCGGAGGATGCGTCGAGGTTCATGTCAATCAATGGTCAATGAAGAAATCATGCAGATGCCGTACAGATAATTCCTTTGGAGGAGATAAAGAGGCTCGTTTGGTTAGTTAGCTGAGTGACATGAAATGCTCCCAGTGTGTCGGCTGTCAGCTGGCCTGTCCCTCCCTGGGAAGGTGGGGCCTCCCTGTCCAGCCTTACTCCGTAACCAGACCAGAGTCACCAGACCCTGCATGCAGCTCGGAGCTGCTAGGTACCTAGTAGGCAGGCACCTAGCTCAACCCTCTGAAGGCACTGCCAGCAGATTGATATATTCCAAGCGAAAAAGTCAATCGTGCCTACTTAGGTACCTACCTAGGTAGGTAGTCATGGTTGTTTATTTGTTCCGACTTGCGGTAGCATTTGGCTTATCCCAAGGGGAAATCCTGGCGAGCAGCTTTCAGGCAAGACTCTGTGATGACAGTTAGACACAACAAGCCTCATAGTTCTGGAGCAGGAAATATAGTTATCGCAATTTCTATTTGAATTCTTTTGCCAGAACAATCATTCTTGAGGGAGTCATGGTCCCCAATGGCTGCAGCGTCTCTATATAACAATACAGTTTTCCTTTGTTCTCCCAACACAATGGGGATGCAAGCAGCATTAACGGTGATAAATGAAACCGAGTAATAAACGCAAATCAGCGACAGAAGTAACATAAATTAACATAACAAACCATGAGATGGTGTCCCAACCCCGGCCTGCTGATTCAAGACCGAAACACGACAATACGGTAAACCTCCGGAACGCCAACAATGAATCCCTCCATGGGTGTTTTTGGGAATCATATCCGCCTCAAAAAAACGTACGTCTGAAATCATGACATACCCTCTTCTTGCCCTTCGCTACCATTCGCATCCTCGAAAACGCAATTATCCGTTGGAGACAGTTCATCGGAAAAGAAAAGAAAAACTAGCAGCCAGATCGACTGATTTTGCTACTTTGAAGCACCTTGCGCAATGGCCGCCCTCGCAACTGCTCTGTACAACGAATTGTTGGATGGAAGCGGCCTGAAACCATGCTGGGCGCGAAGTCACCGCTCAATGAGCAATATGGTCGTCATCCTACATGACCGTAGAGGCCAATAGGCGCGATTCGACGTCATCCATTCCCATGCCATCCATGCGCGGCCCCTCCATATTTTGTAGTCTTGACTCAATCGTTTGGAATCGAGGTTCGTAACCACCCGCTCGAGCCTCCAGGTTTTCCATTCGCTTCTCGATATTATCCAACCGTTGCTCGATGCGTATAAACCCTTGAGCGATGTCATGGCTCAGCCGATCCAACTTGTTTGTGAAGGAGCGAATAGTCGTTGTTAATGGTGCATTTTCTTGACCTGGTGTTCCAGATGGAACGCGAGGCTCGTGATTATGGCGAGGCTCCTGCAAAGCGAATCTCCACTGATTTCCGAGTTGCACCTCGCATACGGCTTTTGCGCGAAAAGGACAGTCGATTTTGCGTGTGGAGGGATTGCGCTTCTTGGCCGTGCTGTTGTACTTGACTCCACCCCGATCACATACTAGGTCATAACGCGTCGGCTTTCCGTCTCGATAATTAGATGCGCGAAGCTTGACAATTCCATATCCCTGATCTTTGGCGACCCTCTGAACCGAAGCCATTAGATCGTCGAAAGATCGAAATATGCCTTCCGGGGGTGGAAGCAGAGCTGGCGGTGGTGTGTTCGGCATCGCGATAGATTGGGCCACGGTGGCGCGACTTTTGAAACAGACACGCGAGGGGAAGAAGAGAGTGCTGATAGTCAAGGCCGCAATAACGGCGGCTGTTCTCTCTCCTTGTGTGCAAAGGGTCAGGGAGTCAGACCCAGAAGGATTGCCGTGTCGTTGGGATGTGGTATAGGCTTGGTACAATCGACCCAAGTGCAGGAGGTTGGGCTGTAGGGATTTTCCAATCCGCACTGTCGACGAGTTAATAAGGTTTGGTGTTGATCCGGTCCGGCGAGAGCTAGCCAGTCATGGTGCAGGAAGGGTCTGGCAACAGGGGTCTCCAGACCCCGCTGGCACCGTGGACGACGGCGTTGGACACTTTGGCTCGCGCAATATTCCACAGTTATACCTACCAACCCTACCTAAAGCTCCTGGAAAACAAGTCTGCAGGAGCTCTTTTGTATCTCCAGGTAAAAATGAGGTCCTCAGGTTGTCTCCTTTCTACTCGAGCACCCAGGACTTGGGTACTGTGCACCATATGTATATTAATGACAACATAAACGCCACAGGTCTGGTTTCAACATAAACGGGGCAATTTCTGGGAAGCCAATGACTAGGGTGTCAAATCTACCATCACAGAGGCCGGGTCGTGTCAGGCTTTCCCTCGCCCAGCCCCACAAAATGATTGCCCTGCTCTTCGCCTCACCGCGACTGCCTACTCGGTGCCTTAGGTAGATACTATCACGACGACGGCAAGCCAAAACCCTGCTATCCGACTGGAATTAACAGACCACACGACACCTTACTATCGTTTCCGTGCGTTGCTAGCTCCTCAAATAGATAAGATCATTCGACGCGTCTACAATATCACTCCGTTGCGCAATGAATAATCAGCCAGGAGCATCCGCTGGCTTGCCTGTAGGCACCAGCCAATCCATGGACGAGGCTCAGTTGAACCAAGCAATGAAGCGACTCAAACTTCTGTACATCAAAGTACGACCTGGATTTTTTTTTCTCTTCATTACCTCCGCGTCTAGAGTCACCCTGTTATGCCGTCAATACTAAACCACTTCTACCTTAGGCGCGATTACTGAGAGATACCATTCCCAAAATGCTAGATCCTCTCGTCCAAAAACAGCCGTCTCGTAAGTCTTCCTAAATAGACACGACGTATCATTCTTGGACTCATTACTAACGGAGTGCCTCATCTAGCTGATACTATGTTCAATGCATTCGTGAAGGCAGTGAGTGACGCGCAGATGGATGTGAAGGAATTCACAGAATTGATGAGAGATGAAACAACCAAACAAGTGTTTGCTCAAGCAGAAAAAAGTAGGCAGGATAATCCGCTCGGTATCAAGCAATGGAGACATAAAGACCATCCGGATTGGTTCAAGATGGATAAGGATTGATTCAACAGGTTCTTCTTGTTACTATATGTATTTCATTGGGCCATTATCGTTCGGCGTACTCGGTTAAGGGATATCGGAGAGGAGCCAGGTAGTTTCAAATTCATCGCTTGCACTTCTGTCACAAGATCATTCTGGTTTGGTCACTCTTATACTGTGTGACGTTCGTGACACTTGCCGCGATTCAAGCTAAACAATCCGTGGATACCATGGGCAGATGGCTCATCGTCGCTGATCGAACACCCAAAAAGCCGAGTCTCCTTGAGCTCGTAGCGATGCACTCAGCCCACCAAATCCAGACAACCTGCCACAGGATCGTGGTTCGAATCTATCGACATTATATTCAGCATAATTCAGCATATATCCCCATACCAAAGTGAAATTATTTGACTTCTAGATGTCGTTTGCCTTGGACATTGGCCAATTCGAAGCCCGTCCAAGTCATTACATACCTACCGCTACCTACCTATGAAGGTACCTAGGTAGGTATGGAGCTTTGACGGAACTCGCCAGCTCCACATGACCCCTCTGCCAGCGCCTCGGACGAGCTGATAGACTGCAATTTCCACGTGACTCATGGTGGGTCCTTTCCTGCGGAATACTCACTCTGATTCGCTGCATTAGCGGGCACAATTCTGTCTTTCTGCCCACACAAATTTTACCCAAATCTCGAAATTCCTCGTTCTCTGGTGAGATCCTCATTGCACACTCCCAGCACGACAAGTAAAAATGGCGACCCAACGAGTTACCTACCGCCGCCGTAACGGGTAAGTATGATATTTGGCATCGCGATGCGAATTAATTCCAAGTCACAAGTCATTTGCGTTCACGACCATACAGCTAACATGGCGTTCGCAGCTACAACACTCGTTCCAACCGAACCCGAGTCGTTAAGACTCCCGGTGGCGAGCTACGACTGTTGCACATTAAGAAGCGAGGCACTGTCCCCAAGTGCGGCGACTGCGGCTCCAAGCTATCTGGCGTAAGTGCTTACCGAACCCGACAACGAGCTGTTCAAATAGGAGGAATATTGGCTGAGGGGATGGCATGTTGCGAGATGGCATGACGGTTTCTTAATCTGCCACGAACGCGTTTGGGAACACGGCAATGGCGTGGCCACAGTGCCGTACAGACCTAAGCCCCAGCCTCAAGATCATCGGCGCATGGCAACGGGCAGTCCCATCGCGAGACGATACTTGAAAATCAAATAGCTAACAAGCTTTGGTACTAGATCCCCGCCCTCCGCCCCCGAGAATACTCCCAGATTTCGAAGCCTCAGAAGACTGTTCAGCGTGCTTACGGAGGCTCGAGATGCGGCGGCTGTGTCCGTGACCGTATTGTCCGAGCCTTCCTGATCGAGGAGCAGAAGATTGTCAAGAAGGTGCTGAAGGAACAGGAGCAGAGCCAGAAGAAGAAATAAACGTATTTCAATGACGTGTCGGGCTTACTGCGTGTTTGGCAAGGAACTTTTTGAGGAGAACGGTTCATTGCTTTGGTGTTCATTAGGACAAAAAGGGACTGCATGATACATTGGGGACTGGGCCGGAAAATCCGGTCTCCTGCTGTCTTTAAGACTGCATTTCTTCCTTGGTGATTCGAATGAGAAACATCAAGTTGGCACCTTTTCGGATCGATCGCCGATGTGTTGCGACAACGATTCAGCGCATTTGTTGTCCGGATGTGATTTATGATCATGATGTAATTGCGACCGTGTGTAACACCAGCGCGCACCACCTACAAGGATATGTGTACGTCCCTAGGGTAGGATTGCGTGAATGTCGTAGAGAAAGTGGCCTGAGAAAAGAGGCTATTCCAAATTGAATGTTACCAGGCCTTCAACCACACTGATAAAAATGTCAACTGCGCTCAATATCAAGTGGTTGAATGATCATTGCTGCCAAAAAGCGGGACAGGTTGTGCCAAAGTGGCGTCCCAGTGAATTTCACTGGAGCTGCTACAAACCAAGGACCGGCGCACACGAACTTAGCATGACCATACGCAACTACTTACATTTTAATCCAACACTCCGGTACGCAGAGCAAATCCGACCTCAGTTGCTTCTCAATTCTATCGAAAATACGGTCGCACTCTAGTCGAACAGCGCGAACAGCGTCCACGATATTTAAGTTATGACAAGTGCCCTGCGGTGCGGTTCCAGAGACTGGCAGCGTACATTCTGTGGTCGTACCTGTCGCAATAATTGGTCTCACGCGTTTCGATCGCAGCATTCGGCCCTAGTCGCCATCTTACCCAAGGCTCGTACGCAGAATCTTGGGTATGGGAATCATCTTCGAACACTGCAGACCTGTACCCATTTTCTCCGCTCACGGCGAGATGTACCGTCCGAACCGCCGCCAACCAACTTCTCCGAATTGGACATGTTAGGGGACATGCCCGCACCCTCCACATCGGTCGACGTTTGCATGTATGATGGATTTGGCCTCAATAGCGGACTTACAATCACGGGTGGTAATGGAGCCCTGTTGGTGAACGGGGAAGCCTTTGCGTGGCGGCCATGGGAGGCAACGGAATCAATGGAACTTGTAAACAAGAAAGGCCAATTCGACCTCCCTAAAGATGTATTCGGGATATTTGATCTCCTCTGGCCAAGACCGGGTATGTTCCGGCGCTCCTTCTTGGACAAAGCCTTTTTTGTCGCCGAGGCTTGGTTCGCTATCACCCCACCCCCATGGTCAACCCAGGCCACATGCGGTGGCAATACGCCAACATACATCATGAGCCATCACATTCTAACGGACCTCTTTGCTTAGATTTACTCGTCATTGGTGTCGGAAAGCAAAATCTTCCGCTGAGCCCAGAAACTAAGAAGCACATTGCCGAGCTGGGGATGAGGGTGGAAGTTTTAGACACAAGAAACGCAGCTGCACAGTTCAACTTACTTGCCACCGAACGAGGCGTCTCTGAGGTTGCAGCAGCTTTGATACCCATGGGGTGGAAGGAGGGCGTAGGAGTTGAGGCATGAGGTGCCTCGCGTGGCACAAGTGTTGCCGTGCATACTTCGACATTGCTATGTATAAACACGCTGAATTCAAAATGTCTTGTTGCTTGGCTTAGTGACATAGTGTAGATAACTTGTATGAATATAATCACTACATTCCCGCCTACTTAAGTACATAAAGGGTTCCCCACAACTCTCATCGGGTTGATATATTGTGTACACTTAGAATTGAATTATCACTTCGCTCGTTTCCCTTGTGCATTCGTTTCTGGACGTTTGAGCAGCAAACCTCCTGAACTGGCTCGGGCGTCAGTGATGCTCAAGGCTCTGGCGTGGCCTAAAAAAAAATCACAAACCGACATCAAACCCGCACAATAATATATACGATCCAGCTGCTTCAGCAATTGTTGTAATTATGACCGGGTTAGATGGTTGCAGGGTAAGCCGTCCGCCTACCTAAGTACCTACCTACCTAGGTACCTTTGTAGGTAGGTCCGCCACAGAACTGGGCCGCATCCCTTTGAATGTGTTAAGGTCTATTTTTCGTACCGGCCAGGGGTTCTAGCCAATGAGAAAAACCGCGTTAAACGGTATAAATTGTCACTTAAGAAGTAATATAATAATATAAGTACTAGTAATAATTAAATCTATAAAGAGCTACATCTTCTTATCGTAGCCGATACTGTCACTACTCCGTAAAGACGTACCTGTTAGGTATCGCAGAAAAGTGGGCCAGATACCTCACTTGGACCTTTTTTTTTGCCGAAACAGTAGGCGCGTTGCTCCTGCTAGTCTCAGTGGTTGGAGGCGAATACATACATGACAATTGATTGGCCATAAACCTCAGAAGCTTGCCCAACGCAGCCTTTTCTAGACTTCACCGTTCCTACACCCTTGTAGTATTTATTTTCGACTGCGTGAATCTTTGCCCGGGGCACGCAAGCCGAGAGTCTTAAGCATCACACGGTACTTGGCTTTCGCCGGTCAGCGAAACTGTCTTGCCCCTCGTATGCCTGCTCTGAACACGGTGTGTTCGCAGCCTTGGGGGACTTCAGCACAGCCTGACCAACACAACACCGTCAAACGAGCTCTTCTCAAACAGCCTCACTTGAGATGGCGGGAGCGCATGAACCGCCGCCCATAGCTGGCGAATATGTCGACACGGATCCTCATACAACGGACCCCCCCTTGCTGAGAGACCACTCGCAGCTCAAGACGTACAAGACGAGTCGTTTCGAGTATCCTGATGTAAGGGTATTTTTCAGACCACATCCCAAGGCCGCAGAACTTCCAAGGACGCCTGCGCCGTTGCCGCTCGTGGTCTGTATACCAGGTCTGGGCGGTTCTGTTGCGCAGTTCTATCCGCTGTTGAATAGCCTCGTCGATCTCGCTTCCTGCCTATCCGTGGACTTTCCCGGAGGAGGGCGTTCACGATATGCTGTCACGGCATGGGATGCGTACACACCGGAAGCCTTGGGTGAATTCTTGGAGCTCGTAATTGAGGATCATCGTGATAATGAACATGGCCAAGGCATAATCCTGATCGGACATAGCATGGGCTCCATGCTAGCCGCGCAACTTGCAAGCACAAGTGTTTCGCATCATACTAATCTGTCAAAATACGTTGTCGCCGTTGTTGCGGTGTGTCCAACGGCGGGTCCCCCAGACCAGCAAAGGTCTTCTCTCTTGAGGCGACTTTTGTGGATACCGGGCTGGATTTTCTCACTCTGGCGAGCCTGGGATGGTATCGGAGGTCCGTACAGTCCGAGTGTGACCCGTTTTGTAGGGAAGGAGGCAGATTTGGAGTTGAGAGTGATGCAATATCGGTTCAATCAACAGAGCAGAACCCCAGTCTGGAGACGCATGGCATATGGTGCTCTTCCAGTCTATGAGGATGGCAAACCCATAGGAGGATTGCCCAGCCTTGATACGTGGGCCGGGGTGAAGGTGCCGGTATATCTTATTGCAGGCGAAGACGACCATTTGACACCACCAGGGGAGGTAGACAAGATCCTTCAGGTGCTGAATCATCGTACGAACGGCACGCAATCTAACGATGACCACACAAATCAGGAAGAGCTGGCAATATCGAGCCAGTCACCTACACAGGTTCCATCGCAGACAAGCGACACAATCTATGATCTTGCAGAGGAGAGCTTTGCGACGGACAAGATGGGAGAGGCCAGCGTCAACAATGCTGATGATGAGCCGTCGACTCCGCTAGAATCGCCTGCATTTGTGCCTCCGCAGCCTGCTCACCCGACCCCGGTAGTCCAGTCGTTTGTGATGCCTTCACCAGCGAACCATGCTCTTCTGTACATGCCGCGGTGCTCAAGAGTGTTGGCCGGGCTTATTTCAGATTTCCTCGCCTGTCATGTTACCCAAAGATTGTCATTAGCTTGGCAGTTGCAGTACTTGTCCCGTGAGGGGAAATGGGATGTCAAGAACTTAATCAAGTGGAAGTCAGTCGCGCCGGTATCTGAAGAAATTGGACCCGAGGGATATCCCATTTTTCGCGCCTTGAAGACACTTCGAGAAGCCGACGATGTGCACTCACCCTCTGAATTTGTTAGGACATGGGGTTCTGTTATCAAGGATGTCATCGACATTTCCAGAGACCAGCCGGTTTATGACCCGCGAGGCCTCGAACGAGGTGGTGTGCATTACCATAAGTTCCCCACTGTGTCCAAGATTCCGCCTCAGCCAAAGGACGTTGAACTGTTTATCAAGCTTGTAGATAAGCTACGGAATGCCAAGATGGAGCGGGCTGATACAGAGGGCTGGGAACGTCCTGAGAAGTGCGTTATTGGCGTACACTGCCACTACGGCTTCAACCGAACTGGCTACTTCATAGTGTGCTATCTTGTTGAGCGTTGCGGATTTCCTGTCCAGGAGGCGATCGAGAAGTTTGCACAGGCAAGGCCAAATGGGATTCGCCACTCACACTTCCTGGATAGGTTATATGTGCGGTATAGCAATGTTGAAGAAGGACCAGGCCAGCAACCGACGCCGTGAAATTCGACATATCAGATCTCGTAAATGATCTCAGAAACCCTGAGTAGCCTGCTTCGGTCGATATCAAACTATTGGAGCGTCAAAACAGTCGGCGACTAGGCATGCAACCGGGTCCGGTATTCGCCCGTCACCGGCCCTTATGCCACATTCGTGCCGAATAATGGGACTGACAGTTACATATTTCTGCACTGATGACGCATCACTTTCACTTATAGACACTGACTTGGCGATGCCATGATTTCACTTTATGGTTAAAGCAAGGCGTTTCGAGAGCTTCCCGGGCAACCCTTTGTACAATGTTTTATATACAATTGTCCACCTAATGGAGTAAGCTTACATCTTATGGTGCATGTCCCTGACGGGTGCGACTAGTAACGAACAAAATGTCAAGACTCTGCTGATATGCTACCCTCTCCTCCCTGACAAGATGAGCAGATGTCGATGTCAATATGGTAGGTGTGAATGCTTGCATGGTTCCTCGCCCCCTTTGGTGGAGGCATGAACACGTGAAATTCGCAATATAAATGTGACATATCCGGTTTCGTCTAATAATCAGTCTTCAAAGGTATGATACTTGTCGGACGCCCAATCTCCAGTCCCTTTTTGATCCTGAGTTGCATGAAAACTGTTATCGTCGCTGATATGGGTCTTCTCTCTGAGTTCCTGTGTGACCTCATCAACATCTACGTCTAGATAGTGGCTGAGAAAGTTTCCTATTTCGGTATTCTCAACGTTGCCTCGGATTCGTTCAGTCTCTGGGCCGCCAGAGCTGTAGACATTGACGTCGACGGCTGTGTGGCCATGCGTGCTCCAGCCAATGTGTGCACGAAGAGAGATAATAGCAGCGAAGGTATTGACAGAAGTCTCAGGGTCATCAGCAAGAAGCGAAAGCTCATCATCTGTGGCATCAGTGACACCCAGGCCGGGAATAACAAGCTTATCGTTTATCCATGATTTGAGCTGTTGCTTGGAAATAGAAGCAGACATGTTGGACACATGACTCTGTAACGATTGAGCCAGGCTTTCGCACGAGGCAGAGACGTTGGCGAGTACATGCGGATACCAGTTATAAACTGGAAGGTGGCCAGGCTCCTGGAGAGCGGTAGCAAGCCCACCGGTCTCATGGTCACTGGTTGCAACGAGGATAGTTTCAGTCGTAGTGTCATCGATGAAATCCAACACGGCCTTAAATGTGTCATCGTATTCCAGGACCTCTCGTACCTGAGCGGCGGGATCATTGATGTGGCCAGCATGATCAATACGGCTACCCTCGATCATGAGGAAAAAGCCTTTATCGCTTTTGGCAGTAGCTTTTTCCAGAGTACGTAGTGCAGTCTGTGCCATCTCGCTGAGGCTTGGATAAACGTCATTCATGTTCCTTCTGTCCAGTTCGAAAGGGATGTCTGATGAGGCGAACAATCCTAATAACGGCAAGGTGACATTTTGACCTGCATGCAGAGCATCGAAAGCCTGGCGGCTGTCCGCATACGACCACCCATACTTTTCCTGCGCCAAGGCAACGACATCAACGTCATCCAAACGACAGCTACTGGCAGTAGAGTTGGGCATGAAATGGCACCGTCCACCACCCAGCATGAGATCAACTGAACGGCCAAGAGGTCCATGACCGACTTCTTGCAAGGCAATGGAGTCCTGCATCTGCCTAATCAGGACATGACTTGCAAAGCAAGCCGGAGTTGCGTCGGTGATGTCGGTCGTGACGACCAGACCAGTGGCGTATCCGGCCCTCTTTGCAGCTTCGAGAACAGAACCACAAGGCTGAAAGTCGGGAAGCACAGAAATGGCACCATTGTAGCTCTTTTTACCGCAGGAGAAAGCAGTAGCACCAGCGGCACTGTCGGTGACCAGGGAGCTGCTAGATCGTGTCCGACTAGAGCCCCAGAAGTGCTTGTCCAAGACGAGAGTGTCTTGCTCAGGGAGACCCTCGACGTGCTGACGATAGCTGCGGGTCAGTGATAGTGAGGCAGGGCCCATTCCATCTGAGACCATAAAGACAAGGTTGCGTTTGGCTTGTCGCGGGTCGGGCCTGGACGTCTGTTGATCATGCTGGGTGGCAATGGCTATGATAATGACGGCAGCAGTAGCGATCAAGGCCCAAACGAAAATTCCGATTTCGCGGATTCGTGACCACCTTGAATCCCTTCGGCTATCATGACGTCTGCCAATTTCATGGGATTGGTTCTCGTTGCCGAGGAGTGGTCTTTGCTCAGACTCCTGTTGTGAGAACGGTTAAAATCTGGGAGCTTATTTCCCCGGGGGGAGCGAGGGAGGAGAAGGGGATCGGAGAATTCTCAGGCATGGGCTATGCGGGCAATAAGTTGCTCACCATGGATCAGCAAGTCGTAGACCAGGACGGGCGATTGTGAGATTGAGGCAGGATTAGGCGTCACCTACAAACTCTGCGTGCTGGAAGAGAGGCTGCAAAACTGCTAGCAGACGCCTCCGATAAGTAGAGAAATAAAAAAATCACAACACGAAAACCGGGTCATATACCGACACGGTAAAGAGGGCGCTGGAGAGAGGGGTTGTAGATGATGGAATAGAATGAGTCTTGTAGGATGAAACATGATAACATGAGGTCGTGATGCATTCACGGGACGATGACGGTTTATACTTTCAGGAACAGAAAAGGTTGTCATAGCCAGCCAGCCACTTTGGCTACCGACCAGTACTGCCGTAGGCCAAGGGGCTAACCGTCAGCGACCAAGTAAGTGGACGAGCCACCGCTGACGGGTGCTTGACATCACCCTTTGTGACCGGACCGGCATTCATGCGTGTGTGCACTATGCATGCACTATCCCCTAAAAGCAGCGAAGACTACAACTAGGTCACAGTATCCACAGGGACCCGGGTAGCAGCTGGTGACGTCAAGTGACATTAATGATAGTGAAAATTATAGCGTTTATGATGTAGCGTTTTGTAACCTAGATTTTTATGGATACTTATATTATCATATAAAATGTTAGGGGATTAAGGTACCGTGTAAAGTTTAGCTTTTAATTGGTTGCTTATCCCCGCAGCTACATAATTGTAGTCTTCCATGCGTCCGTTATGCGTGTGCCACGGCCAGCGACCCCGTGCTTGGCTGCCTGGGGCGCCACCAGCCAGCACATTGTTCTAATCACCACTTATCTGCGCAAGCTTGTACTGTCTAAGAAAAGTCAGTCCCAGATACCAGATCTCGAAGTCTCCCCCGCAGAAGCCACAGAGCGTCAATGTGTAACTTCCAATCGGCTTGCGACCCCTCACAGTAAAGGTGTGCATACTCTTCACGCTTGTTCTCGCCATTTGCCTGCGTTGAGGTCTGGTGCACGCTACCGGTAGTTGCATTACATGGCCAGCTGACCCGTCAATTTCCTTGTTCGATCGAGTTGGGAGAGTCTATACCCAGGCAAGCCATGTTGGAAAAATGTCACAACCCCCCAGGCCGCATGGTCGACGTCTCTAACTCCGTAGCCGGGACGCCCAACTCTGCCCCGATTTTCGTATTCTAACCAGAAACCCGCAGCCGATGGCGATTGAAGCCCCTGCAGATGCTTTAGCCCCAATATACCCGCCCGGGCCGTCAATGATGGCGCCCGCAAGGGGCGGGCCTGTCAGCACGGCAAAAGATACAATGGCGAACACCATTCCCATTCGCACTCCCAACTTCTGAAGATTCGTCAACAGGAAGGATAGGGCCGCTGGGAAAGACCCTGGATACCCGCTGCCGCTACCCCGTAGAAGACGATCCAAACGTAAAGGCTAATGGGGTCTGCATCGACAATGAAACAAAACAAACATCATTACACTAGCGATGGCCCTGTACGGACGAAAACGTTGACTGCCCCGATATGATCCGTTAGGTATTTGGTACAACTCGTCCAATCGCCCCGACACCGTTCAGGATGAGAAGCATATTGAGAGACTCTTGGTACGACAGGGGAGGGCGTAGTGCATCGCGAGAAAACGCTGCTACGTAGAAGAAGGCAAAATACGCCCCCCAAAAATTCTAGGGATTCGGGCGTGATATTAGTAAAACTTGGTCTTTCGATGAGTGGTGACGGGTGGAAGCAGCAAAATCAAACGGTGCTCAAGCAGGCACTATACAGAGCAGAGGTTGGGTTAACTTGCAACCCTGAGCACGAGACAGGATACCATTGAGGAAAAAAAGACAAAGATGGAACGGAGGCTATGAAAGGGGAGAGCCAGCAGGGGAATACAGTTGCAACATACAAAAAATGCCCCCGCAGCATAAAAGGTGTACTCGAACTCCTTGAAGGCTGACCACTCCACCAGCGGCCCAGCCTTTCGGCGCTTGATCCTTGAACGAGCCAGCAGGTTGGCCAAAATCATTGTTGCAAGCTGGACGAAAGCGATTGTCCTCACTGTCCAAGGGAGTCCCGTCGAAGGAAGCATTTGACGGACCATGCTGGGGAATACGAGTCCGCCCGTCACGCTGCCACAAGCAGCAATCCCCAAGGCCAATGCTCTTCGACAAAGGAAGTACGTGGACAGAACCGCCAACGCGGGACAAGAGAGACACCCATGGCCACACGCCCAGCAAGAGCAGTACCTGGCAAGAAAACGGCGCGGAAAGAGCCCGCATCCACGAGACGGCCTGTGAGAGTGTCCACGAAGAAGATGAGAAAGATATTGATTGAGCCTATCCATGACACGTCGCTCGGGGCCCTGTGCAAAAGTTGAGTGTAGTATGTCTGGAAAGTGCCAAAGGAGTTGATCCAAACCCTTTAGCTGAGAAACAGAACGAAGAAAGTCAGCTAAAACATGGCGTATGGTGAATCTGTACATCTGAAAATGGGGTAGGAGGAGTAATTCACACAGCACCACAATCATCCGAGTCTGTTGTGATCTCGTGTATGCATGACATACCATGTATTGAAGATGACGAGATGACCAACAAAGCCTAATTGTTTGCGTTAGTAGTCCAGAGAACCATCCAGAGGACCTGGGCCTGGCTTTTCCACATGGAGCCGATGATGGGAAAGGAGCTCTAGAGGAGTTGCATTCCTATTTCTCTTGTTTTGAGAAGTTGTAACTTACATTGAGTCCAGGCCAGGCAACCACCAACTGGGGGAGGCCCCGGGGTCGTAGCTCGATCTCGAGGCGACCCGGATTAGAACACGACCAAGAAGAGCACTTGGCAGCTGGTTTTCGGCCATGGTGGACTCCTCCATGCCGAAACCATCGCCTTCGTTTACATCCATCGACGTGCCATCATGTCTGCGTCCGAGGTTTAGGCAGCGTTCTTCACAATCACAGCTGTCGCACCGGATAGGATCCTGGGCCACCTTGAAATGTTGGGCATTCACCCCATTCCCATGATTTCCCACATTGGCTCGAGAGGGTGTAAGCTCAGAAGGTTGGATGATGAATGCCTTTTCTCCGCCAGCCACGCTGCTGTTTGGCGGCGCATCCATGCCCGCATGTCCGCACAATCTTCTTCGTTGCCAAAGATGGGCTTGGAGCCAGGATGCCGTGGATTAGCGGTAAAAGCACTTGACAGAATTGACAGAATGACAGGCGCAACTTGGTCTCTTGGTCAGATGTTTAACACTGCGCCCACAGGAAATCCTGGACCATGGACATTCCCCCTCGCGTTCTACCTAGCTCACTATATACCGCGAAGCGCAGGAGGGAAAGCAGTAAGCGTGGTTAAAACATGCCGCCGGCTACGAGTATTAGCTGCAGCAGAGCACCTGGACCAGCTGTGCAGCACACAATTTCGGCCATGGCAACACTAACATTTATTGTTTATGCAGTTCACAGGGACTTCCTGGCTGTAGTGGCAGATTGTGCACTCCCAGTCGAAACCACGGGACGTTGAAGAGGTTTCGGCTACAGCACGACACCCGTTAGCATTTGGATGCGTGAGAGGCAGGATGATCCTCCTTTTCCGACATTTCCACGATGTTTCTGAACGCCTCGTGCCTTGCTCTTGTTACCTACATGTACTCCGAAGGAACTCAGCAGAAGGGTCTCGCCTTTCCCAATGAAGGCCTACCTAGGTACCAAGTAGGTAGGTTTAAGGACGTCAGCTGAGCAGCTATTCGGCATCCAAGCCTGCTTCTATGGCCATTCTGCGGTACATTGTTCCCTGCCCTTGACACCTGAGATTGCAATGCATCATAGTGTTAGTGTTGGGTGAAATGGCCATTGTATTTGGCCATGAGCTATCTGGGTTGTTAATTACTAGGCAAGTAGGACATCAAAATACGCGGCGCCGACAGCCCTTCATGGTAAGTCTATTCGCTCAAGAGGCTAAATGTCGCCTACATGCCTTCTCGTTTCCCGTCTCTTTGTACGTACTGGTCAAAATACGTAGAAAAGATGCAATGCTAGATAAAATTCGAGTGCAAAGACAGCATCTCCGGAAATCGTGGTGCGAAAGGTCCAGAAAATTTTGGCACGTTGCACCAGACATAACCTTTGCGCGCTGCAAAGTCATATAAATGTCCCCTTTGCATGAACCTTGTACCTCACATCCATTCTCTACACTGCCAATGCTACAAGCTCGCACTTCTTCCATCACACATCATCGTCTCCGTTTATCCAGTAACGAAAAAAGATAGCCTCTCATTAACTGGAAATGTACCACACCAAGTCCCCGCCAAGGTATCCAATTCCACTACATAACATCATTATTAGCCATAGCCGTTAGCGTATTTGCACTAGTAGGACATACCTGTCTATTCGACCCATCTCAAACATCGTTCACATTACGACCTGACAACCCACTGTTAGCTTCACGAATAGCTTAATAGGCTATCCTTCTGATACTTACACAGTCGCCATCTTGCTTCCCCTGTGGGATTCCCATATCCTCGAACGTTGCAGGTCCCTTGGCAGGCTTTGCAGTGGCGGTTGGAGCAGTTTGAGTACCAGGACCAGACGGATGGTTCGCCTCAGAGGGTCGTTTTCCCGTGGTATTTGGCGGAGCACTTGCCGGTTTGCCGGACACAGGGCCAGGCCGATGTTGGCTAGATGTTGTTTGTCCGAAGCCCGTCGACACTCTCGGCGGCTGATAGCTATCCTGTGGTGGCAGGGAACTAAGTCTTTCAGGGCGACCTGTGGCCCCCGGCACTCTGGAAAATCGCTCATAACCATGGGAATTACTTCGAAGGTCGTGCTGTGGTGGCCTCTCTGATGCAGGGCGTGATGACGTACGGGGTCCATATTCTCGCCCGAAATCAGCGCTAGTTGGCGATACTGAGGAGTATGGCTGTTGACCGGGTTGCCTCTGTGATTTGCCGCCAGCCATGTTTCCGCTAATGGGAGGCTGAGTGCTGTCTGATCGACCATACATGCCGTCACCGGTTTGAGGCCGTTGACCGCTCAAACCAGGTTCAGGGCTTGGTTGTCTGTACGCGCCCGGATGACGCTGAAGTTCCCACCCGGCAGATGCAACTCGGCTTTGAGGAGGACCGGCTTGTGCAGGAGGCTGCAAACTACCTGTCGAGTGGGATAAGGGGATGGGACGCGGGCCAGCAGACTGAGGTTTGATACCAAATGCACTTGATGGTCTATCTGCTTGCGGGCCATGAGCAGGCTGTAGACCGGGACCGTATCTTCTTCTAGATGGCGCCAGAACATCGTCTTCAGGATATGGCGCTGTGGAATGAGGGCGGTTCACGTTCAGAGGTGCGGGCCTGTCGTCGTCTGGATACGGTGCTGCGGATTGCGGACGCATGGGCTGTGGTGCATTTCCTTCGAGTCTGATATTAAATGCTTGAGGTCGATCAGTCCCCACGAGGGAGGCCCTTGATGGATCCGGCAGGTTTGCCTGCTCCGAAACAATGGTTGGTTTGATGCCGGGGGACGGCTGAGGAGATAGACGCGGTGAAGCCGTTGCCGAATGAGGTTTAGCGTACGCCGGCTGCGAGAGGTGTGGTTTATTGTCTGTTGGCGAAAGCGGTGTCGTTTCACTCAGTGTCGGCATATGTTGAGGTTGCTTGAAACGATCTGGTCGCTTGCCTCTCTGGGAACCGTGCTGAGACTTGATTCGTGTTAGGGTCGTCGTCTCGTGGTCTTGTTTCGAGAGGCTCTTGTCATGGTTGAGAGATTCCAGACGGCCAATGGCATCCTTGTTTCCATGATCGGCTGCAAGCTGATACCATTTTCGCGCATCCGGGATACTCTGGTTCACATGGATGCCGATTTCGTAATAGTAGCCCATAGCGAATTCGCCAGTTGGAAGCCTAGAGGCAGCAGCTTCCTGTGCATACTTGAAAGCGAGCTCCTCATTCTTCTTGAATACACCTTCGTAACCAAACAAGAACCATCGACTGACGCCGAGAGCAGCTTCTGGAAGTCCTTGTTTGGCAGCCAAGCCATAATAATGCAGCGAATAGGACGGATTAAACTCGCAACCCAGTTGGCAGAGCTCGTAAGCTTGACCCATTTTCAGTTGGGCTTTGGCAAACCCGAGATACGCTGCTTTCTCAACATACATTTTGGCTGTCTCCAAATTATACGGCAGCAGACCGTCGGGCACGTTGATGTCTGGCAAGTCGCGGCCTACCAACATCCCGTACACGTAGGAACCTTGTGGCGCGTCCTCATCAGAGCTATCTGCGGCAGCCCGAATGCGTTCCAGCCCGATAGCGTAGTCCTTGGTCTCACCGTGCTGCCCAAGGAGACTCATCATGCCCATACGATATAGGGCTGCAGAGTCCTTCAAGCTCATGCCTTTGTAGTAGTGCTCTTTGGCTTTGGACATGTCGTTGGACTGCTCAAAAAGCATGCCCATGCGATACTCAGATCTTGCGTTCCCTAGCTCTGCTGCTCGCTTATAGCCACTATACGCTTCACGTTTATCGACCCGGTGTCCAAACTTGCCGAACTCTAGCCACTTGGAGCGCATGTACAAAGCCTGAGGATGCTCCTGCCCGGCCAAGTAATTAACAATATTCAGCGCGTCTAGTCGTAGTTCGTGTTCGATGCGAGGTGTAGCTGGCCGGGGTTTTTCTGCAGATTCTCCTGCCACGGCATCCATGGAAATTTCGGCCCAGATCAGGACGTCCCCGGCCCAGCTGATCTGCATCCTCACATCCTGCGAGTGCAAAACGTGTTTGCGAGCATTCCACAGAATTTCCTCTTTTGAATCATCGGCCGGAGGAATGTTGTCGCCAGTGACCTTGGGAAACGGAGAAAAGGACGGGGCATCGCGCCCCATGGTGTCAAGTCGCTGTGCCCGACCCTCGGTATCTTTGTATGCCGTTATATCGCTGTCGACCTCGGTCGCAACCGTGTTTGGCACTCTTGAATGATCGGCTTGGGAGGAAGAGTGCTGTTGCGTGATTGTAGACAGCGATGGTTGCCGGTCGTATTGTGACGGTGTTTCGTGAGGTTCTCGCCTTTCACTATCTTTAGCCTCTAGTTCTAGGCGCTGCAAGTCATCTTGCATATTTTGAGGAACTTGAGGGGTGACCCTGGACGTTGGTGATAGAGAGAGCTGTTAGCATGACGCCCCACAAGGCCAACAACAGGATCCCGAAACTCAGTAACAATGAGTATCCGAACAGAGCAAGAATCACGCTTCAGGTATGCAGGGCGGGATAGGGAGCCCAGTAGACATATTGCAGGGAACGTACCTCTGCGGGGAAGGGGCCACGACCTCGGGCAGGTAGTAATCATCGAAGCCTCCGGGCACGAAGGTCGCCCCGAATTGAGGTGCCATCTAGTTCGACAATGATGGGGACTTGGCTTGGGCTTCTAAATAGGAAAATGCGGGTGCGAGTTGGTGTCTTTCACTCAGACGTAAACTATCGGCCCATGAGGGCGTAGTCTCAGCACTCGTGGACTCGAAATACAAGGCTCGAGCCCTAGATAATGCAGGTGCGGGTGAACGCAGGAAGATGAGGCGGTCGATAGGTAGCAAGGTAGGTCGGACGTCAAGTGCTCAACTTTTTGGAATGCGATAGGACGGATTCGGGTTCTAACCGCTTTATTATTGATGCACAGCTCGGCCGCAAAGAGGGAGGAAGCAAAGGTAGGCATCAAGACAGCCAACAAAGATTTCCGTCAGCGCCGTTGCCGTTGCCGTTACCGTTGACGTTGGCGTGGGCGTTGGGAAAGATGGATGCTCGAGTGGAGTTGCAGCGAGGCTGGACACAGCAGAGCTCGTACAACTGTGACACCGCGTCCTGGATGGGCACGATATAGATGAGGGTGGGAAGGAAGTACTCGAGTAGCCTGAATGCCTGATCTGGTGTTCCCAAGTGCGGGTTTGCCAACTGGCCTGACCCCTAGTTGAACAAGTTGCGTCCGCCGCAGAGCATGTGGCGATGCATACAGTACTGCCTGAAGTGTCAACCTCGCTGCCCCGCCAGGTTCAGGCGGAAAGGTGCCAATGTGCAGGTGCCGTCGACCCGTCAAATCTTGGGAAGTGGGGCCCATTCTGGGGCGCATGCAATAGTAA